GAAGCATGTGAAATTGCTTCATTCAGACATTGACTGAGTTTCGTTGCCTTTAGCTCCTCGATTGCCTTTTTATATTTCTGAATAGCTTCCTTAGCCTCCTCTATATTAAACTCATCAACAAAAAACTCTAGCACACTAATGTCATCAAGTTGACAGCTATCATAAACCAGTTGTAAAATTTCATGGATATTTTGGCATTGAGCAATTTGTGGCCTCAATGCTTTTTCATATGCACCCAGTACATATTTTATGTTCTCGAGTGTTGGAGATTGAGGGTTCCTCATCATGATTGATCCCACTTTGAAAAATGTTTGGCCCAAAGCTAGCCGCATCTTTTTAAACTCTAAGGTAACATTCATAGGAAGAAAAATTTTCAGCCCTTCAACTAAATTATTATTGCAGTTAAATAGGTATTAGTAAAGTACAAATTCTTACCATTTGTGTTGTCATTTACTTCAATTAAATTATCAATACAATATGCATCTCCTATAATACAACAATTATCAGTTAGTCATTTTAAAATGTACTAAAATGTATGCAATTAAAAATGTGTGTGACCTACTGTATTCTTTCATTATAGTATTTCCTATGCTAGCAGTCACTTTGAATTTTTGCAAGATTTCAGCCAATGCCTGAAGTTTTTGATAGTCATTACAAACAACTTCTTTTATTTCAATCAGCACAGCTTCTCCTTGTATGTTGGTAGACATCATCTCTTTTATTAACTTTTCTAAGCACAACAATGCAGTAAACTGAGGTAATGCAGACACAAGAGATTGGTTTGATGCATAACGAGCAAGAATTTTACAACCAGGATGCACTAAACAATAATAAAGATATTATACAGACCAAAATAAGTTCTACCCTTACTTTCAATATCTATTCCATCAGCTACTCCATTCTCTCCTAATTCCCTCAATGCTGATACCAATGAATAGATAGTAGGACCACCTTTCTTCTGTACATTATCAGCTTTCTTTAACCATTTAGTAAGACACTCATGTAGACGCCTTCCAGTATCTCCTTTTTGATCAGCTTCAATGACTCGTATTGTATTAACAGATAGACCAAGAAATAGACCAAGCTCATAGTAACTGGTTCCAGAGTAACCATGTCTTCTGAGTAATTGAAGTACCTCAGCAAGATCAGTAACTATTAAATAATTGTATTTAGTATAAGAAATAAGTGACTAAACATACTTTGCAGTTGATTTGTATTGTCTGTTGGTCCAGGAGAATCCATTGAGCTAAAGTTTTGCAAAAAAGGGTGGGGCTCAATAACAACGCCCACGTGATTTGCTCTAGTCAAAGTAGGAGGGGCTAAGCCACCATAAAATGCAAAGCTATTTTTATTTTTGTGATGCTTGATTCAGCTTGAAGGCTTGAACTGAGTGAGTCTGAGGTAGTCTCATCTTTTGTAAACTGATAATTCTATTTTATGTACTGTTAGTGTCTATATATTTATCAGTAGTACTGGAGTAACTGATGGATCAGTGATACAATCATTGATACAAGTTATGACTGATGAGAATTACCAGCTCACTGGACCCTGACTCTAAGAAGTTAGTCTATAATTATTATTTATTTATACTACTGTATGGGTACAAAATATCACGTGGGATTAATTTTCATTATTTTTGCTGTGTGAAGTTTTAATCCAGTGAAATTCTTCATATGACCACACCTTATAGTGCTTTAAATAGAAAACATGAAAATAAAAATACGAAGTTAGTATTTTCCAAAAAATCATGAAAATTTAACACCACAAATATTTGTACCAGTACAGTATCTGTTATTAGTAACGTGGTAGTGTTACTAATAGGATTCACCCCCAAACAAAATGGCTGCCACGACTTTTGCAGCCTTGCTATTGTTATTGCTGTTGTATGAAGAGGAAGGACAACAATACAGCACAATAGTGATGTCTTATAGAAATTTGCTGATTTTTAAAAGTGGCCATAACTTGAAAAATTGAAGTCGGAATTAGTTCAAACTTTTTACATAGCATAAGTAAGTACATCAATATGTATTAGAAAATGTAATAAAAATTAAGGTGATTTTGGAGCCACTTTTTGGGAAAATGCATGGGCTATAGTACAGCATTTTATTTTAAAGAAATTGCAATTATATTTTTATTTATAACTCAATGATTCTCCTCCCTATAGTCTGAGGAGTTATTACGTGTGTATCCTCCATATATAAATTATTTTGAAGTCACTAAGGAGGCTCTCAGTTCCTGTGATCATCAGTTCTCAAGGTTTCATGCTTTCCTTAAGTGTAATGAGTCCAAACCAGAGTGTGGCCGCCAGACACTATCAGAACTACTGATAACACCAGTACAAAGAATACCAAGGATCATATTATTACTACAAGGTACATGTATATTATATAAATACTAGTATTTACATGTACTGTACATTGTAATTTAGCTGATGTTGAGTAAGATAGTTCTCTCATTTTGATAGCCTTTTCCCAATTTAAAGCCCATCATTTTGAACTATATATGTACATGTTCAATGGGACATGTGAATATATATTAAAACCTGCCAATCACCGAAAATTAAGCAATACACCAAAATTTCATCTCTAGACAATTACAATGATCACTGTACAGTGCATCTACATGTACTGTCTGCATGTACTACATGTATGTGTACATGCATGTTATTATTATTTTTTTTTTTATTATTTTTATAGATTTATTAAAGCGTACTGATACTGGCCACATTGATTACAAGCAGTTGGAGGAATCAGTTGAAAAACTTAAGAATGTAATGGAGTGAGTTATACATCACTACATGTACATGTATTTTATTTATTTATAATTATTAATTCTTCTAGACACATAAATGAAGACAAGAGGAAGACAGAGAAGCAGATGCACATGTTTGAACTTATACGTGACATTGAGGACGTCCCGGTAATTAGTGGGTGTGGTCTTTATAACTGACTCCTCCCCTTTAGGCGACGGTCCTTTCATCTCATCGTTGGTTTATTTCAAGACATGATGTGTTGGAGTTAAATATTAGCAATAATGGAAAGACTAATAAACCATTGTCTATAGCATTGTTCCTCTTCTCTGACAGCATTGAGGTGAGATAGAGGAAGTGTCTCATTTTTATATGCTAATTTCACCTGTACTATAGCCCATAGTTTTTTCCAAAAAATTGCTCCGAAATCACCTCAGCTTTTTACATTTTCTGATACATATTGATGTCCTTATGCTGCATGTATAGAAAGTTTGAGCTCATTCCAACTTCAATTTTTCAAGTTACGGCCAATTTAAGAAAATCCCAAAATTCTGAGAAATACCCTGTACTATTGGATGGTCTTATTAATTAGTGTCCCTCCCTCCCTCTCTCCTACAGATTGCTAAGATAAGAAGTGGTCATGGTTTTGTTGCTATGAAGGACTCATACAAACCATACAGGTACATGTACATGTATTTTTAGTATACATGTATGTACATATATATATACACGTAATGTACGTATGTACGTGTATTACTGTTGTTCTTGTTACTATTTTTAGACACTTGGAGTTTCTCACATATTCTAATATTAGATCAGTCATTGATTTCACAGACAGCGAAGGTACATACATGTACATAATATTTATTTATTTATTTGTTTGTTTGTTTATTTATTTGTTAATTTTTTTATTAGATGTTGTTAATGGTTTTGGTCTGTTAGTCCATTGGTCTGATGATCCTCAGGAGAGATTATTAACTTTTAAAATTAACGGAGACTCATCAATTAAAACAGAACTAATTAATAAAATATCTCAAATGATGTGTACCAGTAACTGTGCCCCATCTCCAGTGAGTGTAGGGTCATTATTAAGATTAAAGCACGGGCTATAGTACAGGGGGTTTTTGGAAAATTCAGCATTTTAACTGCCAAAATTAAAACCAGCCATTTCGAGCCATTACATGTATGTACATTGTACATGCTCAATGGCACATGGACACAAATTTGTCAAATTAAAATTCGCCAATCATAAAAACTTTAATAGTCTTCCAAACTTCCCCCCCCCTGTAATTTTCAGCTATACAGTAATCTATTCCTAAAATGCTCATAACTCAAAAACTGCTCAATTAATCAAATTTTATTTATACATGTACATATGTATGTATCATAAGGCATTGACTATCAACATTTTCTATTTTTAATTATTTTTGTTTGTTGTTGTTTACAGGATATGTTTGTATGGAAGACCTCATCAGATATATTACACTCAATGCCAAAGACTGGAGGTAGCATTGGACCCATTGATACTGGAACCATTAAAAGAGCATTCACGTAAGAGAGGGGGAGGGAGAGAGAGGGAGGGAGGGAGGGAGAAAAAGAAAGTGTTTGTGTACATGTATTACATCAATCTATTATTTCTTGATTATTAATTATTAGTGATAGTATTAAAGGAATGAGAAGGAAAGTGAAGAGAACTACAGTATATCAAATCGTTCCAATAGAAGACCATTCACACCATTGAGGTACTTATAGATATACTGTATAGAGAGAGACTAGTGACATATTATGATATTATTGTGGTACATATTGTATTTATATTATTAGTAAAAATGTTGATCAGTTAGACACAATGGATGAATCATTTACTGATCTTGTAAGTAATATAGTATTAGTAAGAATACTATGAGTGACATACCCTCCCTCCCTCTCTCTCCTCTCATAGGATTCTACTCTCAATACTTGTACACTATCAGTAGCTCCTCCTTTTCCTCCTACTCCAATGAGAGGTCCTCCCACTAAAAGACAAGCATTAGGATATGGACATTCATTTAGTTCAATGGATCTCACTAAATTAGGATCCACTGGTACACTCTAATACTGCATGTTACTGTATGTGTGTATGACGCTTGTTATTATTATTATTATATTTTTAATTCGTTCCTCCTTCATTAATATATCTATGTACTTATGTTGCATTTGCTTTTTCCCTTCCTTTATCTTATCATTGCTGTTATTTCTGTCTCCAAACTAAACTAATGTAATCCTGTCAATTACTTTTGTAACAGATTTACTACACTTTAGCACATGTAGACACATGCATAAATAAGCGTACATTATGTTGCATTTGCCTCTGTCCCTCTTGTCCTTATAATAAATGGTTATTCTTTCTCCAAACTAAACTTATTTACTTCTGTTGATTAGACACAATTTATTAATATTTGTCTATTAATATTTGTGATATACCCTCCCTCCTCTTTTTCTCTCTCTTTTCCTCTTCCCTTCATCTCCCTTACCTTCCCTCTCTTTAAGTAAAATATATTGATCAGTTAGTTGCAATGTATAAAGATTAGATATTAGTGTATTCTGCTAGTGCATTATAAATGAAATCTACTCCTATACTGCTGACTATATCAAAGAACAATATTACTTTTATATCTATTATCTAAAGCTGTCTAAAACTGACAAAAAGTATCAAAAATTTAACACTTTTGATTTATAAATTGTGATTCCGTTGAGCAAATCTTACATGTGTTCAAAAAATAACCATTTGTACAAATTTGCACACTTATTATTTGACTGTACAAATTTGCACACTTCTGAAGTGTACAAATTTGTATACTCTAATGTATGTGTACAAATTTGTACAATTTTTGGTGTACAAATTTGAGCAATCACACAATAGGTAATTAGATATGCCAATATATGGCACTTATTCTTCCTAAAAGTGCTAAAACTTGGGGAAGTAATGAAATTTTGACACACTACTTTTTGTACAAATTTTTGACACAACCCTATAATAATAAAATAAAGTTAACTTTTAAAATAACGTGGTAAAATTAAAGTAAAGTATAGTGCTAAAAAATACAGTATGCATATGAATATAGCCTGATTGTTTTTTTGTTTTTCCTTTGCTTTATTTGTCTCAGTCGATTCTTTTATGGCTGCAACTGAATTTTTTCCATCTTTTATTTCTTGTTCTTTTAACACAATTTAAGTAAAATTAATAATAAACTATATAACATAAACTTATACCTGCTATATCCAGTGCTTTCTTCAATGACTCAACTTCTTCCTTTAACAACATTTTCTCTTGTTGTAACTGACTAGTCTCAGCTAATAATACAAACATGTAGTAATAATAACAATAATCTAATTTAGTTTGTCTTCATTCAATGTTAATGCCATAATGTAATGTTTCTCCTAAGTTATAAAAATTCAACAGTTAAACCATACTTGCTCTTGCTTTCAAAATTTTATTCTCTGCTAAATTGGCCCTTAGCATCTGTACACTCCATGACAACATCAATTGTGTTCTTTTAATGTACTCTAAAATATTTACATCAATAAAAATTATCAGAATTCACTAACTATAACCTTTTCTTTTTTTGATCATACTCATGTGCCCATCTTTTAAACCTATACCATTAGTATAAGTAACATCAGTAATTGAGTAATAGATCAACTATCACACCTTCTTTGTAATCAAGTAAAGTCCTCAGTTCTTGTCCCTCTCCATCAGCTAGTTTAATCTCCTCTGCAAGACACTCATTATTCATTACCTATAATCAGTACATAATATTAAACAAGGTCTCATACAGTTACAGTATCTTATACTTTGATCCTTTCATCATAGACAGTGTAGTGGCCAATGGTCAGTCTAATTAAACTGAATTCCTTCATCAAGACAGTTAGGTTGTCTTGTGCTTTCAAGAGAAGAGCAGCTAGTAAATGATGTGGAGCATAACAGATGATAATGATGGAGTTTCCTTGATGAATGCTTCGTACAATAATTCTCTTGTTTAATTCTTTAAATGCTTCCTCTAAGAGATTACGTATGTCATCAAGTGAGTGCTCCTCTGGTTCCCATCCCAAAGTAAACTGAATTGTTTCAAAATCATTGAAATGTTCAGGCTTATTCTGACTAATGAAATCCTTTAACGATCCGCAAAGTGTCTTCACTTCTTCTTCATATTCTGATATCAGTGGTTTTGCTTCAGTGATTTCAAAGCGTATTACAATTATTTTAATCATTGAGATATTATTGACTCGGCATTTTTTTACTACAACATTCATAATGTTGTTAATGCTCTCAGCATTAGACAGCTCAGCACTCAATTCAGGGAAGGATAGTTGAAGGAATGACTTCAATTCTTCAACTGATGAAATTGATTTAGTAATTAATGGAACTATTTTATGACGAAGAATACCAAAGTGACCTCTGACCTCATCAAACATAGACTGATGTGCTGCATTAAAAAAGAACTCACCAGCTAATAATAAATATCATTAACAATCATTTTTAGACTAAATGTATACCTGAAGTTGATACTGTTGTGTTTGGAGTAGGTAATTGATTGACTTTACTACTAGAAACTGGTCCCACAACTAGAGCCGTTGTCATAATTCCATCTATTATTATAATAATACAGTTAATTACTAGTACACATAGATCTACATGTATACTCTTACCACAATCTTTAATAATATCTTGAGCTAAAGGTTTAGCTTCTTCTAATTCCATTAATATATTTCCTAGTGACCTCAGCTTACTGTGATCATCAGATACTGCAATCATTAATTCTCTTAATGTATCACTTAATGAGCCACCACATCTCTCAATCTTCCTTTGTGTATCCTCAGTGATTAATCCTTCTGTATATAACAACTGGATACAACTATCAGTGAGAGATACTTGTGATATTCTATCACTGTAATGCTGGAATATCTGACTAGCAGGATCATCATCTATAAAAATAATAAATATACTTGAAACTGTATTTATGTATATTAACTTTACATGTATTACGGATGAGTGTAGCAGCTTGTTTTTGATTCATTCTCTCAAGTGCACTAGCTAATGATTCCCAAGTACGATTATTAGCTGAAGTCAACCACAAGCTCAAACACTCCAGTAAACACTGAGAAGAATCAGTGAATCTAGCTCTAATTTTTTTCAGATCAGGATAAGGTAGGTTTAATTCCACTCCAAGATCAAACCAGTCAACATCAATGAAGTGACTTTCCTTCAAAGAATTAGAAACCAGCTTCATATGACTGATATCTAAAAGATAAGTATTATATACATAATATTACAAGAATGAGAGATCTAGTATCCCACACAGATGGAGGGCCAGGGAATAGATTTACCTAAACGAAACACTGCTCTAGAGCTAGCCATTGCTGCTGTAGAGAGCTAGCATAGATAGTAGAGAAGAGGAAAGGAAAAACCTTGGGAATTTGTTTACTTTACTATGTATGAGCCACGCCTTTTTGCGTGGGTGTTCACATTTTACATCACGTGACATTTTTCATTGAAGAAGGCGGGGCTGAGCTACTCACGTGTTTTAACATGGTTCTAATACATACTGATAATTCTATTTTTCTATTTTATGTAGTAGTACTGCAATAACTGATGGATCAGTGATACAATCATTGATACAAGTTATGGCTGATGAGAATTACCAGCTCACTGGACCCTGACTCTAAGAAGTTAGTCTATAATTACTAGGCGAATGTAGAACATTGAAGGGGCGAGCACAAGCTAGCATTTCATTAGAATGCTACCGCATTAGATCATTGATTTTTAAATAGAGAGTTGTGCACACATGGGTGTGACCAGAATAGGCGTGACTGGAGACGTACGTACATACAGAGGGAGGGAGACTTCGCCTGAGTGGGGCTCGCTTATGCTCGCCCCAATAATAAATAAATAATAATAATAATAACTAGAAGCAATGTAGAACATTAAGGGGCGAGCCTAAGCTAGCAAAGCAATTATGGCACTGGATCTATCCATCTATAATCTACTCCCGATGATTTCAAAGCATGCATCATGATTTAGGCATAGCAAACATGATTTACATGATGAAAGTTTAATGCTGCTGATAAAATTAATAATAAACTTTTAGTCTTCTAGTTTCACATACACATTTCTTGCCTATAAATGTCTGTAAAGATGCTTTACTTAGCTTTAGATATAATATTATCCAATATTAAGATGACTGAGAAAAAGCTTGATTGACTTTCACAGTTTTAATAGCAATTGCATCAGTAAAGACGAGCTTCATAGGTTATTAATTGAATTTAAAACCTTCTATAGCTGCTGGGGAAGTCTTTGGACGGTATCTGCCTTATATTGCTGCTAGAAAGCTCATGAATTCTTCCAGTGTGTTGGTTGCCATTTTTATTTTACTGTGACCGCTCCCACTTTCAATGAAAAATTGAAAATTGCATTGGTAATGCATAGTATCTATCTACCGTATTAGATCTGCGCATAAATAGGGGTGACGTACGAGGACAGACCATAGATATAATACACAGACCTGTGTATTAAATCTATGGGACAGACAGACAGAGGGACAGAAGGGGCGTGACTGAGAGTATAGCTAGAGTGGGGCGAGCTCAGGCTCGCCCCAACGAGCTCAGGCTCGCCCCAATAATAATGGTAACTAGGCGAATGTAGAACATTGAAGGGGCGAGCACAAGCTAGCATGGCAATATACAATGTTTAGATGTCACAAAGGCTAATGTTGTTGTCAAATTGTAAATTGAATGATACACATGCAGAGCACTGAGCTCAGAACTTGTGACTTGCATGCAAGGAAATTTTATAGCTTGCTCTTCTCTCTTTATTAGCAGTGAAGAATCTCAGTTGTAACTTTAATAAGTATAATTTAATTTTTACTATGATATTTTCAAGCACAGTACTTTTAGACTCTCTTTTCTCTGATGAGCCATTTGAAGTGCTTTTATATTCTGTCATTCAACCATAATTAATAAAAACTTGAAGATTTATGTGTGTTTTCTTGAATTTTCTCTGCTGATGAAGTGTCTTGACAAGAAATCAGTCCTATGTTGCTGCAAGTAAGATTGGCTAAGGTAGGTGCCATTTTAATTTCATTGCAACCACACCCACATCAATAAAAATATTTCATTAGAATGCTACCGCATTAGATCATTGTTTTTAAATAGATATTGTGCACACATGGGTGTGACCAGAATAGGCGTGACTGGAGACGTACGTACATACATACATACGGAGGGAGGGAGGGAGGGAGACTTCGCCTGAGTGGGGCGAGCTTATGCTCGCCCCAATTATTTATTTATACTACTGTATGGGTACAAAATATCATGTGGGATTAATTTTCATTCTTAAATAATGATTTTTGCTGTGTAAAGTTTTTATTCAGTGAAATTCTTCATATGACCACACCTTATAGTGCTTTAAATAGAAAACATGAAATTAAAACACTATGAAATTAATATTTCCCAATAGTCATGAAAATTTAACACCACAAATATTTGTACCAGTACAGTATCTGTTATTGTTATTGCTGTTGTATGAGGAGGAAGGAGAGAGAGGGAGGGGCTATAGCCTATACCATGCTATATGTATGTCTATACCATGAGCTGTATATAGCCTTCAGAATTTTGGCATTTTCTTAAAATGGCTGTAACTCAAAAAATTAAAGTTGCAATTAAGCTCAAACTTTCTACACAGCATTAGTGCATTGTATCAGAAAATGTAATAAAAATAAAAATCATAACTCAATGACTCTCCTCCCTATAGTCTGAAGAGTTATTACGTGTGTATCCTCCATATATAAATTATTTTGAAGTCACTAAGGAGGCTCTCAGTTCCT